GTTCCAATTTTCACCAGAACTTGGCAATACCACTCTTTTCAACTAGTCTTGTGGGTGATATCTCATTGAGGTTTTAATTTGCAGTTTCCCAGTCTCTAATGAGGGTGAGCATCTTTTCATATGCACATTGGTCCCTGGAATATTCTCTTTTTTAAGGTGCCTGTTCAAGACTTTTGCCCCATTTAAAGGTTATCTGCCCTTTTATTGAATTATAGAAGTATTTTTAATATATGTTTTTATTTCAAAGAGGAAAGGAGAGGGAGAGAGAGATAGAAACATCAATGATGAGAGAGAATCATTGATTGGCTGCCTCCTGTGACCTCTTGGTTCATAGGTTGATGCTCAATCCCTGAGCCACACAAGCTGGGCTAGGAGCTTTTTTAATTTAAGTTGCATGTGAAGTCTTGTGTTGTATATATGTGATACAAATATCTTCTCCTTGTCTGTGTAATTGGGGCTTTTCAAAAAGGGGCTGAGAGTTCAGTGTGTAGGCAATAAAACCATGAACCCTGCGTGGCTCTCAAGAAAGTGGACATTTGAAGATAAATCAAAGGAAGAGGGACCTGGATCTTGTCCTCTTTAAATCTATTACAATAAGCTTGAAGTAGGATTCCAAGAGCAGCTGAGTATGCTCCTGCACTTGATATAATCAGTCATTATTTATTTGCTATTCTTTCACAAGCTAAAGTAACCTTTATCCTCAATCCTTTGATTCTCATTTGGTCACACCTTAATTCTTTAAGCTCCTGTTTCAAAGAATGCCTTTGTCATCTTGATAGCCCCACTACCTGGAGAAATTCTCTTTTCTTACAATGACTAATTTAAGTAAAACATGCAGAAATGAATTATATATTTAGGAAACTACAAGTATAAAATAGAGATACATACCCTCCTGATATCCAATAGCACAACTTAAATAATAGATATTAGTCAAATGAAATCATACAGAATTTTTTGAGGGCAGGTCTGACCAGTGCTATATTATCCTAGATATTTAATAACTATAAAGGTATATAAGATGCAGTAGTCCCTGCCTCAAATAATTTCTGACCCATACCAAGTTAGAGGAAGCTCAGTGGCAGGAAGGGTTAGTTTTTGTGTGTTGTGGTTTGTTTTGTTTTGTTTTGTTTTTTGCTAATTCATGCTTTTTAATATCAATGAAATCACCTGTTGCTGTCCATTGGTGGTCCCCAAGCCTCTGAGGGAGAGAATGTGGCCAAGCCTAAAAAGAGCCTCTTCTGGGAAAAGCTGTGTCCCATGGGGCCACCAGCCATGTGGCAGGTACCATGCCGAGGGCTATGCAGGTGTCCTCTCAAAGATAGTCCTTCATGGGCTTACCCACCTTCCAGTGGGAAGTCCTCCTGCTACCTAGCCTAAACGCACAGGCTGCCCTGGGCTGACCAGGAAGGGTTACTTTGGATTGATTGTGGCAATAAGACAAGGGTTGTATTAGTTAAGATAATGGAGTTTCTTTTACAAAACTTATCCCCATATATATAATGGATCAAACATAGCAAAAGTTAAAAAGTCAGTCATCAAAAGTTAAAAACAGATGTTTTTGATTGGTAATTCATTCTGCTTGAAATATTAATTTAGAGATTCAGATTCTTCCATCTTGTGGGTCCACCATCTTCAACATGTAGTTTCTGGGATTGCTGGGCTTGTCCACATTAAGCCGGTAGAAGGAGAAAGAGCATGGAGGATAGAAAAGGGTGTATGTCATTTCCACTTGGGTTCCATTGGCTAGAACTCCATCCACTATGTGGCCACTGCTAACTGTGAGGGAGGTCAGGAAGTATAGTCCAGCTGTGTGTCTAGGAAAAGGATTTGCTACAGGCTTCGTGATGGCAGGGCATTTAAGATAGGTCTTGATGCCATGTGAAATCTTTTGACAGAGATTGGAAAGGAGGATTAACCTAGGTAAAATGAAAAGCATGAAGGTCTCAGACCTAAACAGAAAAAAATGCAAGAGCATATTTGAAAAACAAAAGATAATCCAGTTTTTCAGAAGCATGTAGGGAGTATCATGGGAGAAACTGCTAGAAAGATAGGCTTAAGGCTATTTCCAACCTGAAGCCACATTTTTTGAAGTTTTTAAATCCATACCGAGGAGCTTTTTATATCTACTTTTTTTTTTCCTACTAGGGCTCACTCCCACTTGCAGGAGAATTGTGGCCCAAATTCATTTTCTTTCTTTTCCTTCATACTCTGGTCATTCCTAGAAAGTGAGTTCTTATGTTTGCCTCCATAACTTGGTGGAAGGAGTCAAGGAGCGGGGTGCAGACCCTCAGCATGAGCAGCTTTATTTTGAGCTTTTGTACCAAAGGGTTTCAGAGACTCACTAGGGGCTTCCTGCCAAAAACCAGTCTAGGGAATGGTATCTACTGAATGCTGTTTGGGATGAATCCCAAGTTCAGTAGAAGGAGGAGGGAGAGGAATTCCTTTCTAACTCTAGGACACAATCAGCTCACGCTCAAGATCCTGAAATTTAACTGCCCACGTTGTTATCTTAGCTTGCATAGCTCCAACTGTGGCTCATAGTTATAAACGTATCCGGTCCTTTAAATTCCAACCTCATCTTTCAGCCTGATGACCTCCTGACAGTGATTTATTGGGAAGGGTGGGAGCTAGGGAAATCCTTTTCCCTCCCTTTAGATCTGCCAACTTGGCTTTGAAACTCCACGAATGTTTTGGCCAAATAATACACATCCCCACACCCTCTACTCTCACCTCTGCCCCATTCTCTATTTAGTAATCATATGCATTCAGATGTGCTAAATTAATTTTGTCCCAGGCTTTAACTAGGTGCTGCCCCTGGAAAGCTTCTGTGTGAATTATTCTTTCTTCCTTGAGCTTCAAAGCGTGATATTAATGGCTTTGAAAATTTACCTTCGATCTACAATTTGGGGAGGATTTGTTTCATTGTTCCTACCAATTTATAAGCATACTTGTCTATCTTTTTTAGACCACTGAAATAAAGTGAAAACAGACTCTGAGGTAACATCAAAAAGGTGCTTCTTTTTAAAGCAAACTTGAAAGAGACTTAGCCCATATTTTTTCAAGATCCTGAACACATTAATTATATTTGGATTTTATCGAAAGGGTGGTGTTTATTAACCTGTGTCAAGAGTTTCTAGATATTTTTTTTTTCTAGGTGGCCAGAACCACACTTAAAGAAATCATCATTACATTGTGTTCTTTGTCCTATGTGCATCTTTCTTCCTCTTTCACTAAGATACCTTTGCTGGTCCCTCTGCATGGCCATCTTCTACACTTATGGCCTTCAAATAACTACACCTTGCTAGTGACAGGCATTTGGTGTCTTTTTCTTTAGAGTGCTTGCATATGGAAAAGGTAAAGTTCCTCAGGCCAATGTCTGGGTACCAGTTCATTCCCCAGCATACTTTGAGATCTATGTACCTCTTGAAGCACTAAAACATTTGGGGAGACAGCATGATGTAGGGAAATAGAACATGAGCAGAGACTAAGCAGACTTGGGTCCAAATTCTAGCTTTGCTTTTTTACCTCTGTGAGACCTGAACAAAACCTTTGACCTCTTTGATCTTCTGAGCCTGAATTTTTATAGCATTGATTAGTTTTAGCTGTTTTTGAATTTTATCTAAATGAGACAATGCAATATATGTTTGTTATTGGTTTCTTTTTTAAAATGTATTTTTATTGATTTCAGAGAGGAAGGGAGAAGGAGAGAGAGATAGAAACATCAATGATGAGAGAGAATCATTGATTGGCTGCTTCCTGCACGCCCCTACTAAGAATCGAGCCCAAAACCTGGGCATGTGCTCTGACTGCTGGGAATCGCATACCTCCTGGTTCATAGGCCGACACTCAACCACTGAGCCACACTAGCTGGGCTGTTATTGGTTTCTTTTACTCAATATTATGTTTGTTAGATTTATTTAAGTTGTTGCATATATGAATAGTTCATTCAGTGGAATTTATGGTATTGTGTTATAATTGTAAATTATTTATCCATTCTACTTTGATGGACATTTAGATTGTTTCAGTTATTATGAATTGAGATTCTATGATAATTTTTGTAAAATCTTGTGTACACAAGATTCTGTTGAGTAATGTCACATCCTGTGTAAGCAGCTCTGAGATTTGCTTATTGGAAGTTTATTTCTTTCTGCCATCAAGATCAAAGTTGCCCTTGAGATCACCACCAATGGGGGAGTAAGAAGGGAGGACTGGACAGAGAGAGAAGTTGGACTGTGATGCACTTGCAACAAAGGCCTCAGCCAACCTATAGGGAACTCTGGAGCTGAAATGGCCCTCTAGAGTTGTGCCCATTAAAGGCAAGGAGGCTGGACCTTTACATATCCCTCATTCACCAGTTATTGGATATGGACTGACCCAGGGGAGTGAGCATGGTTTTGAGTGAGATATCTCTCTTTCCCAGAGAGTGGGGCCACATTTGTGAGCTGTCATCCATCAATATTCTTAGCAGTTGGTAGAATGAGTGTTCTAATCCTAAAAATGTTAAAATGTGGGTATGTGTGTATGTTTAGGGTGAAGCTGAGCAGTGCACCACAGTGTCCATTATATGTCATTAGTAATTTCTAGGGGTTGAATTTCTGGTCAATAGGATATGTGTATATATTCATTTTTAGTAGATACTATCAAACAATATTTCAAAGTGTCTATACCCAAATACCATCTTAATTTAGATTCTGAGATTCCCCAAATCAGATCTCACCACAAAGATAAAGGAACATTCATAGAAGGGAAACATAAATGTGAGACTATTCTCTATATTAATATGTTCTATATTATTGGGAAAGAAAACTTGAGAACCACTGGAGTAGGCTATTTATCATTCTCTACCTTATGGCTTGACATCCTAAAAACTGTCAATAGTGTTCAGGATGTTTTGAAATCTAAGTGTGGGATTAATAGAGCCTAAAGACATCCTTTTGTGCTGAGAGAAGAACAGAAAGGGGATATATGAATTGACTTTTGCCCTGGATTTCGTTTTTCAGAGTGGCCAAGTCAATGAAGGTCCCTGTGTATGAGACCCCAGCTGGATGGAGATTCTTCTCAAACCTGATGGACTCGGGACGGTGCTCTCTGTGTGGAGAAGAGAGCTTTGGCACTGGTAGGCTTTGTTGGGTTGGTGTTTCTAGAAGGGGTGGCTGTAGCACTCTGTGACCCCATTTTGGAAACCTGTGAGCCCACTATGAATCAAAGACTAGAGGCAGAGTTAGAGGCAAATAGGTAAATAAATAAATAAATAAGAAAGAAAGGAAGGAAGGAAGAAAACACCTAGTGGAATGTGTGTTATGATACACTTACCACATCTACCTATTTCTTCTTTTTCTAAAAATATAAACTTCCATTTCTTTAAAAAATTTACTGAATTTTAAAAAATTCATGAATAGAGAGAATATCATATTGAATTTCCATGTGTTCATTAGTTTCAACCATTATCAACTCAAGGTCAATCTTGCTTTATCTCTACCCTTATCCACCTAGGGAGCCCTCCTTCCTGATTATTGTGAAGCAATCCCTAGTGATTCTTTAAGTATAATGGCTATCGAAAAAAAAAAAGTATATAAACACAGTATCATTATCACCCCTAATAAGGTTAAAAAATAATTTTTTGCCCTAGCTGGCTTGGCTCAGTGGTTAGAGTGTTGGCCTGTGGACTGAAGGGTCATAGGTTTGATTCCGGTCAAGGGCACAGACCTTGGTTGCAGGCTCAATCCCTGGCCATGGTCCTGGTGCATGTGTGAGGCAACCAATCGATGTGTCTCCCCTATCGATGTTTCTCTCTCACTGTCTCTCCCCTTTCCTTTCACTCTCTCTAAAAATCATTGGACAAAATATCCTCGGGTGAGGATTAACAAAAAAATAATAATTTCTTCTTTCAGTATTTAAAGATGTTACTTCATTGTCTTCTGGCTTGCTTAGTTTCCAAGAAGTGGGCTCTAATTCTCCTTTCTGTTTCTCTCTATTGAAATTCCCCCCACCTCTGGCTGTCTTCAGTATTTTATTTTTATCTTTTAATATGTGTTTTGTTGTTGTTATTTCAGAGAGAGGAAGGGAAAGGGAGAAAGATAGAAACATCAATGATAGGAGAGAACCATTGATTGGTTGCTTCTTGCGTGCCCCCCTACTGGGGATTGAGCTCGCAACCCAGGCATGTGTCCTGACCATGAATGGAACCATGACCTCCTGATTCATACATAGGTCGATGCTCAACCACTGAGCCATACCGGCCAGGCTCTTTTTTATCTTTTCTTTTCAACAGTTTAATTATAATATTTCTAGGTATGTGTATTTTTTTTAAAACCTTGCTTGGGGATCTCTGGGATTCTTGTTTGTTGTCTTGCATTAATTTCAGAAAATTATCAGCCATTATCTTTTCACATATTTTCCCCCAATTCTCTTCCTCTTTTCCTTCTGGGACTTTAATTGCACTTATGTTAGAGGAATTGTGACCATATGTTGTTTCCGAGCTCTTACACCCACTGTTTGGTTTTGTTTACTTTTTTTCCTTTTGTGTTTTAATTTAGATAATCTCTATTGGCATATCTTTAAGTTACTGATTCTTTCCTTAGCTGTGGCCAATCTACTGATGAGCCTACTGAAGGAACTCTTCATTTCTGATATTGTGTCTTTATTAATAGCATTTCTTTTTGACTTTTTAAAAATAATTTTCATCTCTCTGAAAAAATTCTTTTTATATATGTTGTTTATATATGTTTGTATGTGGTATTTATCTTTTTCATTAGATCATTTAACATATTAAACGTTATTTTAAACTCCCTGTCTGATAGTTCTAATATCTAGTTGATCTTAGTTTCTGGTTTTCTTGATTACTTTAACTCCTAATAAAGCAGTGGTTTACTCTTTCTTGCTTTTTATTCAATTTTTAATTGAATGCTGGACAGTATATCTATATCTATATCTATATCTATATCTATATCTATATCTATATCTCAACAGTAGGACTCAGGCAAATAATATTTATACACATTAACGGGCATACCAATTCTTCTGTTAGGTCATTATTATTTAAAGTTAAGTTAATCTAGTCAGGAGTTGAGCTGGATTTGGGTTTATTATTTATGTTATAATTTTTATTTTACCATAGGCTTTAATTTCTTCCAGAAGTGGGATAATTTTTGCTATGTGCTCAAAGGAGAGTGTCAGAGGAGATTTTTTCAGTGTTTCTATTTCATTTCAAGCTTCCAGCAGTTACTGTGATTTAAAAAAAGACTTCTGTCACTAGATGCTTGACCATTCTTCAGTGGCAACAGAGCTCTGCTTAGTATTAATGTGGAATTTGAGGCTCAAGAAGGTTTCCTACCCTTTCTCCAGGAGCAGAGGGTTTTACTTCAGTCCTATTCCAGTAGCAATGGATCTTTGCCTGGGCCCTTTATAAGAAGGTTTACAGCTTGTAAATTCAGGAGTTTAAGGTTTTTGTGTCTTGTGAAAGAAGGGTGGGGAACTGGAAGGGCTCCATGCTTGTCCTCAGCAGCAGCTGATCATCTCCTGCATGCCAGTACCAGCAAGTCTACCTCTTTGTTTCCAGTCCTTCTTGTGAGCAGCCAGGGACTTCGGATTATTCACTTATATGGAAGCGTCCTCTTTCTCCTGTGCTCTGCCAAAAGTGAGACTGTTTTGTGTCTTGTCTCTCCTCAGAGGGGCTTGTCACTCTGCAGTTCACTTTACTTTATTGCCTGTGATTTAGGATCTCTAATGAGTTCAAGAAAAGTTATGATTTTGTAGGTTTCCTGGCCTTTTAGTATTGCTGGGAGTAGCATTCTCGTGCAGATTTTCATATCCTAAACAGAAATGCAGAAGTGGAACTGCAAAAATAATTTATTAATAACTTCTCCTATTCTCCACACCCCACAACTTATTTTTCCCCCCAGTTAGAATCCAAAAGATCTTACATTATAACTTGTTGATACTTCTTCATTCTTCTTTAATCTGCATTTTTTTCCTCCACATTTTTTCTTTCTGGTATTTATTCATTGAAGAAACTGGGTCATATGTCCTATAGAGCTTTCAATGTTGATGTCCTCATTTCCCTTTTTAAATTGTTTAATGCTTATATACAGAGAAGCTATTGAATAATATGCCTTTTCTCTGGTTTTCAACCACCTCAGTACATTCCATTAATTATAGCATTTTATTTTCTAGAAACTCTACATTCTCTTAGGATTTTTAAAAGGAATATAATTATACTAGAGGCCCGGTGCACAACAATCGTGCACTCAGGGGTGGGGAGGGGGTCCCTCAGCCCGGCCTGTGCCCTTTTTCACAGCCTGGGAGCCATCAGTCAGACATCCTTAGTGCTGCCACGGGGGCGGGAGAGGCTCCCACCACCGCTGCTGCGCTTGCCAGCAGTGAGCCTGGCTTCTGGCTGAGCGCTGCTCCCCTATGGGAGCGCACTGACCATCAGGGGGCAGCTTCTTGGGTTGAGCATCTGCCCCCTGGTGGTCAGTGCACGTCATAGCAACTGGTCGTTTCCCTGTTTGGTTGATTTGCATATTACTCTTTTATTATATAGGACTAGAGGCCCGGTGCACAAAAATTTGTGCACTTGGGGGGCGGGGGAGGGGGGTCCCCCAGCCCGGCCTGTGCCCTCTCGCAGTCTGGGACCCCTCGGGAGATAACGACCTGCTGGCTTAGGCCTGCTCCTGGGTGGCAGAGGGCAGGCCCAATCCCTAAGTGCAGCCCCTGGTCAGGCTCAGAGCAGGGCCGATTGGGGAGTTGGGGCGCCGCCCCCTGTCA